GACTCGGCTGTACACGAAGACAAGCACCGTAACGCCAAGAAGCTCTCGTAATGTGTCCGCTAACGCCCCGGAGCGCGTCCCTGCACAACAGTCGGGATTTTCGCAGGTGCACGGGAGTCGTATGAAGTCCCCAACAGGACCGCAACTGGTCGACCTACCCATACATGGAGCGACCTCGCCAGCCGCAGTCCGCACAGCAGGAGCACTGCTGCCGTCGGCAGTATCTGTCGAGGCCGAGGTCATGTCGAGAGGTGTCACTTCTCCTCCCAAGCCATTGCAAGCTGCATTGCAAGCACATTATCGTGCCAATGTTTTCATTACCTGTTGGACAGTCTAGATATATCGACATCGGAAGGACTGGTGATGCAATCATCTTTTTCGACTGCACAACCATTTCAGAATTCGTATTTTTCTCGCATCCTGCCGCAGCCACAGTCGTGGCAGCCCATTACGAAATGGACGACCACATGGAGCCACAACATCATACAAGACAACACCGCTGTAAATGGTCGCACTCCGGACAGACCCAAAACAGAAACCCGCCATCCTCTACGTGGCGGGGGGGGGGGGGGGGAGAAAATGCATCCTGGCCGGATCAATACGTCAGCGTTATGCCGGTTATCAGGGGTATAATGGAGCCGCGACGGCGGAACAGTTGGGACCCGCAACGGCTGAAGGCGTGTCCGTCCGCGCAACCACAAGAATAGCCCCTTTTCCACCAGGGTAGTCTTTGTCACATCCGCCCATTTATCCGGGAAAGCAGCTGGCGCCACATGTAGCCGACCCTACCGCCAGACCCACGTCTGGTCCGCTTCCGCCCGGTCGGAGCCGGAGCCGGAGCCGGAGCTAGACTCGGAGCCGGAGCAGAGGCCAGAGTTACGGCCGGAGTCAGAGCCAGTCACAGCCGGAGTCAGAGCCAGAGCCAGAGCCAGAGCCGGAGCCGGAGCACAGCTTGAGCCGGAACGGGAGCAGAGGCCGGAGTTGGGACCGGAGTAAAAGCCGGAGTCGGAGCCAGAACCAGAGTCAGAGCCAGAGTCGGAGCTGGAGCTTGTCGCTGACGCTCATGGCCAGCCGCCGCCTCAGCTCGCGACTCGACACGGACCGTCACGCCTCCCACACCAGGCCGGACGCGGCGGTCAGCGCGGCTTTAGCGCCGCCGCCGCCGCCACCGCCGTGTCGGTGCACGGTCGAACAGCAGTCTATCCAATTTCGCATTGCGGAGTGCTTCCCGTTCTTTGCAAGTCGTTTTCACACCATCCGCTGGCCGCAGACGTCGCGGTGTCATCACAGACGGCCTCGTAACAGGTCAGTCGTGAGGCGCTGCAGCTGGCTTCTCCCGGCGGAATGTTCACTTTCACGCTCATGGCCCTCAGAACGGCATCGAAAAAATCGTTCTTTGCTACAGGTGCTGCCCACCGCGTCCTGGACTGCTCACGGTCGTAGGCTACCGCAGCCAGCCGCAGCCGTGCTGCTCGGGCTGGTGGGAGGCTACCGCAGCCCTGCTGCTCGGGCTGGTGAGTGGCTACCGCAGCCCTGCCGCTCAGGCTGGTGGGTGCCTATCGCAGCCAGCCGCAGCCGTGCTGCTCGGGCTGGTGGGTGCCTACCGCAGCCCTGCTGCTCGGGCTGGTGGGTGCCTACCGCAGCCCCGCCTCTCGGGCTGGTGGGTGGCTACCGCAGCCCTGCTGCTCGGGCTGGTGGGTGGCTACCGCAGCCAGCCGCAGCCGTGCTGTTCGGGCTGGTGGGTGCCTACCGCAGCCCCGATGCTCGGGCTGGTGGGTGGCTACCGCAGCCCTGCCGCTCAGGCTGGTGGGTGGCTACCGCAGCCCTGCTGCTCGGGCTGGTGGGTGGCTACCGCAGCCCTGCCGCTCAGGCTGGTAGGTGGCTACCGCAGCCCCGCTGCTCGGGCTGGCGCAGTCAGCCGCAGCCATGCTACTCGGGCTGGTAGGTGGCTACCGCAGCCCCGCTGCTCGGGCTGGTAGGTGGCTACCGCAGCCCCGCTGCTCGGGCTGGTGGGAGGCTGGCGCAGTCAGCCGCAGACGTGCTGCTCTGGCTGGTGGGAGGCTGGCGCGGTCAGCCGCAGCCGCGCTGCTCGGGCTGGTGGCACCCGACCGGTCCGTGGTGCCGCCCAGCGCGGAAGCCGTGCCACGGGAGCGGACGGTCGTCACGACCCAATCAGCTGGCGAGCACGAGCCGTGCAGCGTAGACTCACGAGCGACGAGTCAGCCGACAGTGGCAGGCAGAGGCGAGCAGCTCTCTACAAAGGCAGTCTGGCAGACAGCAAACCACAGAAGCGGGTCACCTGTCCATCACACGGCCGCGGGCGCTTCTGTGGGGCTGCCAGGGCGCGGGCGCCGTTCTCGGCCGGTCAGGGGCGGCGGGCGTGCCTCAGAGGAGCTCACGTCTGCCCGAGACTCAAGCCGCGGCCGCCAGCCTCTCCAGCACCAGTTATGGTCTGTCCAGCGGCCGGTCAACGGCGGAGCAGTCTCCCCGGGGACGGTCCGGAGCCCGGCCGGCCGCGGTGCTAAGACTGAGAGCGGCGAACCCCTGGGTCGCGTCACGGCTCGGCGGTCCGACGGCGCCGTCCGCCGCCGCAGCGCCGGCCCCCGCGCCCCGGACCGGACGCCGCCGCGCTACAGCAGCCGGGGATCGCTGGCCAGCCGAGAACGGCCGCCGCCTCACACGGCTATCAGGGAAGCCGGCCCGCACCCCCGGCCGCTCCCGACACCGTGTCGGCGGCGGCGCGCGCCTACCACTGGCCGTCAGTGGCGCGTCACTCACAGCCGGCTGCCGTGTCCAGCGCCGGGTGCCGCGGCGGTGTCCGCTGCACCGGCCCCAGGCAGGTCAGCTGGAGACGGGACGGCACACCCGGACCGGACCAGCGCCACGGTCCGCCGACTCCGCCCAACGCGCAACCACCGAGGAGAGGCGCAGAAGAGATTGGCGTCAACCAGCTCTGAGCCCGAAGGCTGCCAGCACTAGGTCGCTAACGCCGCCGCGGCCAGCGGCACGAATCCTACAATATTGAGACTTTCGGTGTCCGATGCATTCACAAAAAGTTCAATACTTGAACACGGCCAGCCGCGTGTGTAACATGACCGGGCATACCTGGCCACCGAGCCCGCCGTCCCCGTCCCGTACCCTCCACAGCACGCGCACCTGATCGGCCGACACCGCTCCCACAGCGCCGCGGCCACCTGACCTTGAACACGTGTCACGTGAGTATGATGACGCCGAGCGATGCGGCGGCGGCTGATCCGCCGTCACCGGCGCCGGCGCGGCCCGTGACGTCATTGGGCCGGTGGTACGGCACCGGCCCGGCCCGGCCCGGCTCGGCTCGGCTCTGCTCTGCTCGACCCGGCTCGGCCGGCCGGCCGGCACGTGCGGCGGCCGGTGCAGGGCACGGGGCGGAACGACCGTTGCAACGGCCGGCGCCAGTGGGGCGGCGCCGGCCGGCGTCCGGCCCCAACGGCCCGCCGCGGGTCGAACGGACCGCCGGCCGGCCAGGGCGCCCGACCTCGGCCACTGGGCACCGGGCGTCAGCCGTACTGGATCGCAAACAATTCAGGAGAGTTTGACACAACGGTTGGTATAGTTCCGCTTCATAAATTCCCAATTCCAACTAAATCAGTTCTCATGTCCGCCATAATGCACATGACAGCGGCACCGCGGTATGCTTACATATGCTATCTACCAATGTCTTTAATCGATCCCCCGACATGCAAGCCCACTGAAGACATTTCAGAGTCACGCAGTGAGGGGCCCGTGTTTGTCCTCGCGCTTCAGTGCCAGAACGGATGCGATTTCGAGACTCGGTGAGATTTCTCACTATCTGCCCATAGCACTCCTGTCTCAGCACGTCTGGAATGTGGTCAGTGAAAATGCTTCTACAATGAAAATCCTCAACACAAACCAACCAGTGGTTCTCATATCTAAGAACAATGCGCTTCAAGGCAACAGTCGGTCGAAGAAAGCCGACCGGTTTAGAGCAATATTGTCCTAAAATTAATCTTATCTTGGAGCAACAAGGGCTGATGTTCACTCGGGCGGCTCAGGCGTCAGCTGTACCATATGCTGGCACGTGCGCGGAGAAAAAGGAGCTCAGAAGCATGACGGTCCTCAAGGCTGCTCGGCAGTACACAAACTTATAAAATCAACCTTTGTGTTACAATCACGTCGCCCATCCGCCAAAACAGGCCCACCGGTTAGGACAATTTCCTGTGCACTTCTAAATTGAGTATGACAACCATTATTTTGCGGAAAAAGACACGCATTCTAAATACAGTTGTCATTTTTGGTGGCCAACGGCCGGCACTTTCCTGCCCAAGAGAGCCTTGGCACGACATGTGCGATGCTCCCTGTCGCCACAGCACAACGTATGCTCGACGTCTGACCTTCAGAACTGGCCCGTCGCTGCTAGTTGGGGCCTTGCAGTGCGCAGCGGTCTTTTGTGGCTGCCAAAAAAACTTCCGTGCGCTTGGTATTTTGCGAAGACATATTTTCCCTCACACTTTTCAGAGGCAAGGCTCGAAAAAATCCAGTCTTGCAAGTCAGCACCCTGCCCAAACTACTAAGCGGTAACGACATACATCAATGCATAGACAACGCGCCTCATCAACAGGCTTGACGAACGCATGTCAGGCTCAGGCTTGGGGGCCCCCTTCATAGCGGAGTATTCATGGGTGGACCTGCACCGGTAGACACTATGCCGCATTCAGTCCATCCGTCTCAGTTCCACCATGGCTGATACCGCAATAGTCAATCGAACATCTACCCCTTGATGAAGAACCGGACCGCCGGCACAAAGCCCGAACTCAGGGCAACACGACGCAAGTGCCGTCCCACTCGCCAGCCCCATGTCCTCCAGCCGGCACCCCCCCCCCCCCCCTCCCCCGCCCACTGGTGACGGTCACCAGGATCCAGGAGCTACAGCGGCGCTGCGCTTCGCAGCGGGCCCGCCGCTGCCCGCTGCCGGCGGCGGCTGGGCGCGCCGCCCAACTCACCTGGACGGGGCTGCGCGTGCCGTCCCGAGCTGGCGGACGTGCCGTCGCCGTGCTGCGAGGCGCGGCCGTCGCGCTCCTCGTACACGGCCACGATCTGCTTCGCGGTCGTCGGCCACGTCGCTCAACCGGTCGTTCCGGGTCCAGCAGACCGCCGTCCGCCGACTTGAGCGAGTGCACCGTCACCCATGAGTCGTTCGGCTGGCGGCGGAGAGGCGCGGGTTAGCAGACAACCGGGGCCAGCGGTACCACGGCCGGCGTTCGGCTGGGGGGCGCTGTGCGTCGGGGCGGGTTCCGGGCACCTCTCCTCCGTGTGGCGCCTTTGACGAGTGAGACGCCCGGAGAGCTGTGGAAGCGGCCACCGCGCCACGGAGAGGGCGAGCGGCACGGCCCGCCGCGAGCTCGAACGGCCGCGGTCGGGCGTGACCAGCTGCAGCAGTGTGCGGGACGACGATCAGCGTCGCGTGCCGAGCTCCGGCCGGCCCCGCCCGTCTGCGGCGGCGGCCACAGGCCAGAGCGGCGCCCCGCGTCGGCTCGGAGCGAGGCCGGCAAGGCCGCCGTGGCCGCCCGGCCGTGCTGTTTTCCCGTCCGAGCGCTAATGAAGCGGGCGAACCACCTGGCCATCGCCGCGCAGCGGCCATTCACCTGTCCGTCAGCCGCGCGGCGGCGGCACAAAAACGAGCCAGGCCGTCTCTCCCTGCCGGGCCGGCCACCCAGAGCAGCCAATCGGCCGCCTGGTTCCGTCAGACGGTCACTCGGCAGCCACGAGCCGGGGCTGCGAGGAGCCCATCGACCGGTATGGTCCAACATCAGTGGCGCGTGGTCATCAGGAACAGCGGACAAAACAATGACGGGTATCCAAGTAGCCAAATGTAGGGGAATAAGTCGATTTCACAGACAGGCTAACGGATTGACAGCCTGCACGGGATTGTGACGAGCTGCGTTTCTGTGTGATGTATACATGAAACTTTTTTATAAAACGAAGTGAGATTCCGTTCAAGAACATCGTTACGATGATAAAAGTCTTCGACTTGGGATTCTAAGCCCAGGCGATCGCACTGTTCGAAACTGAACTGCACTTTACACCGTTCCGTCGCTCGTCATCAACACCAGCGCACCTCCAAGCACGCGACCACACAGGGCGAAGAAACGATTTACCCCGAGCCTCAGGCTTTGTCTACAAATATTAGCGTCGTTACGGAACATGGTGTCCCCATCTCAGGGAGCTGCTCACAAAAGCCCGGGAGAAAACGAAGTGCCCATTGTGTTTTCACTCCGGCCATCGAAAGAGCCCCAGCAAGACAATGAAAATCATACAGCGGTCAGAGATTAACTAGCCACTAAAATCAAGAATTTAGAACAAAGGCGAGCTGCACAGCGGAGAGGACAAATGGAGGCTCAGTAACCATAGGAAATATTCTGACCAGTTAGCGTAAAAGGTCTTCCAATACAAATGAAATGGGGAAATACTGTCTTAATGCGCAGGTCACACCAGTCCACCGCCCCCCCTCCCCCCCCCCAATTTCATGCCAGTGATTTTCAAACCCGCTTGCTGGCAACGGTTTCAAGACTATTGAGTACAAATGGACAAGGATGTGTCGACTTGAGGGCTATAGTGCGCCCGCTGGGACACTGGGTCGAGTCGAACACTGCTCGGTCCGTGCCCCAAACGGGTCCAAGATCCGTCAGCGGCCACATCTAGCCCACTGATGTTCAGTACTCAGTGAAATGGAACTGGCCAGGAAAACAGAGTACTCCTGGTTGCTCAAGTCACGCCTGTCTGCATATTTTAGCACGCAGCTAACCACTACGGGCGGGCGACATACAAGTAGGCAGCGTACCAATCCCCCATGAGTACAAGTGTGATGCGTGCGTGTCCCGTGTGCGCGTGCCATGCCAAGACCGCACGCATCGTCAATCGTCCATAAGCGCTGCCACAGACTGGACTGATCGGTGGGGCATCCCTTACACAAGCTCTTGACCCAAGCTTAAAGCAGTCGGCTGAGTTCAGGCGGTCGGTCGCACACGAAACGGGGGGGGGGGGGGCACTCCTGCCCTCCGGGTGTGTCGGCGCGCCAGCCGGCCGCCGTCCCGGTCCAGACCCCAGTCGGCCCACCGGCGCACGAGCCCGTCGCCCGGCGGCACGGCGACGCCCGGGCGGGCCGGCCGCCGGTCAGGGGCCGCTCCAGGGCGGACCGGCCGCCGGTCAGGGGCGCTCCAGGGCGGACCGCCGCCGGCCAGGGGCCGCTCCAGGGCAGACCGGCCGCCGGCCAGGGGCCGCTCCAGGGCGGACCGGCCGCCGGTCAGGCGCCGCTCCAGGGCAGGACCGGCGCCGTCTCAATCAGGGCGGGTAGAGCCGCGTGGCCGACCACGCGGGAGCCGCTCCCGCCGTCTCAATCAGGGCGGGTAGAGCCGCGTGGCCGACCAGCGCGGGAGCCGCTCCCGCCGTCTCAAGCAGGGCGGGTAAGCCGCGTGGCCCGACCAGCGCGGGAGCCGCTCCCGCCGTCTCAATCAGGCGGGTAGAGCCGCGTGGCCGACCAGCGCGGGAGCCGCTCGCTGTCTCAATCATAGAGGCCATGCTCACACGATAAAAAGGCGTTGATTGGGTGGCTTTAATACGTCCTGCTGTTTGTAAACGGTGGCGAGCCACCTAACGGTGACTTGTCATGGACTTTGGTACCTTCCAGAAGATTGCCAAGCGGTCGGGTTGTTGATAAGGTTTGTAATGCAACAAACTGTCAAAAGAGATGAGTCAAAAACACAGGTAAAAGACCTGGCCCATGGTCTGACCGTGACGTCACATTCAAATCGTCATTGGGTTGTAAATAGCAGCCAAGAATACTTTACGGCCGTGAGGACAAGACAGCTGTGCCGCAATCTGCATTGTTGGGTTGTGATCACTAGACCAAAAGCGTGTTAAATATCATGTGTTGCAGCCGCAGCTTATAAGATGCATTTAGAAAAAAGCAGCAAGCGAAATTACCTCAGGAGACAACGCTACAACCGAAATAGCGGCGCAGAGTGAGCAACAGAGAGAGCACTGAGCAGCGACGCGATTCGGGATCACTCAATCTTGTGGTCAAGGAGCCACACAGCTCGTCGCTCTGCACGTCTTACCTCACCCATTATTGATTCATAAACCGCAACGAATCCCCATAACTGGCCCCTACCTTGGCTACTCCGTTCAACGATATGCACTACGCAGCCGAAGGCAAACACGCCACCCTGTGTCCACGCACCGGTTTTCGCAGCGCGCGCGGCACGGCCGCCAGCCGGCACCGGCCTGCCGAGAGGCGCCGGAGAGGAGCGAGACACGTGACAGCCGGCGGCGGAGCCGGCTGGCGGGGCGCCAGGCCGTGACCTCTGGCTGACCCGGCCGACCCGGCGCACCCCGGCGCGCTCCGCCGCCGGCGCCGCGCTCGGCTGATTGGTGGCGCCGCATTAAACAATCAACACCGTACACGGACAAACAATGCCGCCATCTAGCCAGATTTTTCACCGCCCAAAGCCGATAAAACGCTGCGGCGCCTGAGATTGCGAGACGCCGGTGTAAATCGCCGCCCGGCGATGGCTGCTCACGATAACACATCGCCACGCGGCCACGGCCAGTCACGATAACGTATCGGGCCCGAGAGCGGCACTGAACAAGCGGCGTTGTTTTAACCCCGAACCCATCAAATATTAATAGAAGCGATTAATTGCCGTAACTGGGATTAAAAGCGCCGGCCGCATGCTGCGTGGAATTATCCGACGTGGGCCGGGCGCCGGTGCTCAATCCCGCCGACTCATCGGCGTCCTCGCCGGCGTCCGACGGACGCCGGGCCGTGACGGCCCGCGAGAGGACGCACACCCTGCACCGAGCTGGTGACGACGCGGTGTCAGACCCGGCGACGCTCGAGCGGGCCTCTCCGGAGCCGCGCCGGCGACACACAGCTGGCCCGTCAGGCGCGCGGTCCGCACACGCTGCACCGAGCTGGTGACGACGCGGTGTCAGACCCGACGACGCTCGAGCGGGCCGCTCCGGAGCTGCGCCGGCGACACACAGCTGGCCCGACGCGGTGTCAGACCCCACGCGGCTCAAGCGGGCCGCTCCGGAGCCGCGCCGGCGGCACACAGCTGGTCCGCCCGGCACGAGAGCAAGGGGACTCCGGCGGGCGGACTGGACCCGTGTCGTCACCCGCCGCCGACGCTGGAGGCACTCACCGGGCAGATTTGCTTCACCCAATCCGCCAGCTAGCCAGGGGGTCTTAGCTTTGCCCGCCCACTGGCCGTTCCCAATCTGCCTCACTCATAAGTCACCCGTCCGTTCACTCATGTCAAAAGGTTTAATCTCACGATGTTAAGACAAACGGAAAACTTTGATTAAGGCCTGACCCGGCCATGCCCAGTCCCGAGGCTTTCTAAAACAAGCTTATCCATTTTCCGCAGATCCATCGTTCAAAGGGGCAGCCGTTCGCGACTGTTCTCTGGCCAGGCCCGTCCGCACTGCGTAGAGCGCCATCCAGCCCGGCCAAACAATGAAGACGTGTGCAGACCGTGCAGGGACAGTGGCTGGCGTGGAATTCCCCAGAACCAGCCCAGAGTGCCGCAGCCGGCCGGGCCGCCCACAAAGGCGCTGCACACGCCCCATCCGCATGCCACGCGGCGGGCCTGATCCAGCGCTACTGTGCAGACACCAGGTGCGGTTTAGACAGGGGCGCTTCCTTCACGCCGACACGGTCCACGTCCGCAGAGAGTGCAGAAGAGCAGCGAGACTAAGTCGTCAGCCGGATCTGCCCCGGCGCCTCTCACAGGTGGCGCAGGCCTTCCCGCGGCCGGGGGCACCGAAGCTGAGCTTTTGAAAACAGCGGCTAAACCAGGACTGACGGCTCGACTCGAAGCTGCTCCGTTCAACGCCGCCACGAGCTTCAGCGGGCTCCCTAGCCGGCCGACACGGCGTCACCTGCCGCCGGTGCCAGAGTCACAGGGTACACTCAGGCCGCGGCCGTCCGCCGACCAGCGCGGGGGCGCGACCCGCCGTCTCCAAGG